TTGCAGTTTATAGGACACGATGCATCGTCTGTAATTATATACACATAATATAACGTAAAATAGATCGATGACACGCGTTAGACATTATATAAACATTATTCGGGGGTGCGAGTGTGCGACATTGTACCGCGATCGTTTGGAAAATAATGGATATATGCGGATATATTCCTATAAAACTGCACACACACACACACACACACACACACACACACACACACGTATCTGATGTCGACTATAGATATCTACCGCATAAGATTTTAACACGGTTATCGTATAATATATATTATAACAGTTCATTACGCTTGACTCTGCGAAATTCGCCTCCTTTTTAAATTAGTTTCATTCATTGTACTTACTCCACATTATGCCCACATATATCATGTATAATATATTATATGAAGTATTTACCCCATGAAATCCCTAGTATTTTTTAATTTTTCCAAACGACATTTTATAATATTATGTCATAATTCTTTAGGGACATGTGTTTTACTTTCCTTATTAGTGTCCTTTTTTTCCAATTCCAAAGCAGGGAATATAATTTAATATGTACTGATACACACTGATGTATATAGAACGTTACACATTTTAGAATGATGCCTTAAACATTGTAGAGCTTGTATTTTTTAATTAAGTTTCTCAAAGTGTGAATGGGACATGCGTTTACTTTTCAACTGTTACAGCGTAAACATTTGGTTATGGTGTACAAGTGTTTATAATGTTTATATATATTATATATTATGTATATTTTAACAATTTTACAATTGCGAAACAAATTAATTTAAATGTGTCAAGACTATACTATACATTATAATATAATATGTATACATTTAACATAATAATATAATATAAGAATATTGTTGTATAAAATAACATTAACAATTACAACACAACGGAATGCAACACACGATACTATAATAGTTATATTATGTTGCGTAGACATTTTAATATATTATTCGCAATATCTTACGACGGTAAGAACGTTTTCGGGAAAAGCGTCGGGCTTTCTGCGTGCCTTGCGTGTAAGACTCATACATGATATTATTCCTGTTTCGGGCGCGTCAAAACGTTTTTGCGACATCATCATATTTTATATATATGTATATTATATTATGCACACGACGATATGTAATGGGCGGTGTATTTATCGTCACCACGTCTAACGGAACACTTTATTTATATTTACGTCGCGCGAAAACAACCCTCTCTCGCGTGATGCATTATTTTATTGTTATTGTGTGTATAATGTATAGGTTTTTTTTTAAATTGATTACATCGCGAAAAACCGATGACCGCCGTTCAAGCTCGAGTGTATATATATATATAAGCGTAAGCATATAATAATTGGTTTATCGAGTCAAACCCTTCGCGGGCCGAAGGGGTGCGCACCGCCAAAGTGTATATATACGCGCGTTCACGGACGGTTAACCCGACGCACAGGGATCCCATCGGTATCGTACCCATATGGCGTTTTCTCAACGGCTAATCCGATTTGGCTCGCTAATGCGTAGTACATACGTGTGCACGCTCGTTTTGGGTTTCGTATATAATGTTATTGGATATTATATATATTATGTACAAGCAAAAACCAAAACGAAAACATTGAACCCGTTTTGTATGTACGTCCCGTGATAACACTGCAACACCCCGCCACCAACGCAAACAAAAAAAACTGTAAAATTATAGAGAAACAGTAAACTGTAAAAAGACAGGGGGTAAAAAGAGAGGGAGAGATTGTAGAGTGTGAACGAAAAAATAAATCGGTACTACGTAGATGACTTGAACGTGTTGCTCGAAATCCCGATTGATCATAGATCGATTATAGGTATACTGTGTCGTCTTCACTACACGCATGTAATAATATACCTATATACGCTTTGGAGTCTATATATTCAAATATATACGGCAACGGTGCTTATATACATACATAATTCATGTACACATATACGCCACAGCCGTCGAATTAAGCCTTCTCGCAAACGCCATTAAGGCCGGATAAGTCCAACGTCTCGGGAGACCGCAAGAAACAGTGGCGATGGTTTTCTTAACCTCAAATTATACACGTATATAATGCGATATCGAACTGCAAACACGATGCGGCGGAGAGTCGATTGCCGACTAACGGTGTCTTAAGGACGCGGCTGACTATATATGGCTGTATACTTAAATATATAAATATGACCCTGCAACATTATTATTATATTATTCCCCGATCTGCAACCGCACACATACAGTGTGGATGTATAATAATATACATTATTATCCATAGTATTCGTGTATTAGGATCATAATATTATTATAAATGGGTATTCATAAAATTTCGATTTGGAAATCATTTTAAAATCATTTTTATATTGTAGTCGCTCTTAACTTACGAGTTAAAATAATAATAATCGATCAATAAACGAAACGTGACTGGCGATAAAAAAACTCTAGGAACCAAAGGATTTTCACAAACGTCTGCACGTAGGTTGATAAATGAATTGTTCTGAGTAGGAACACGAAAAAAAAAATGAAAAGGCCGTTCCAAAAATGTATAAACAAGCTATTATACCTCCAAATAACGTTATTGTGTATATATATATGTATATATATTATGTAGAACGTTTCAGAAAACAGAAAACGGAATATTATACACGCGCGGGAGTATGAATCACTTAAAACCCGTATCAGATGATGCGATGAGTCTTTTATGCGCAATAATAAAATTAAACGTTGCGGACGTGAAGAAAATAATATATATATTATTTCGGAGAAACGGGAAGAGGGGTAAATGTTAAAACGGCAATATTCGTCGAGTAGTATATACAATATCACCGCCACAAACACTATATATACCGTAATAATACGCATATTATACAGTAGGTGTAGGCAATGTACGCCTACATTTATAATAATATGTTCGCGATGTTTTTTTTAAATCTTTCACTCGCACATACAGATATTGAACGGATCAATAGTGATATATAATTTATGACGTATACCTACATTATATTAGGTAGGTACTAATGTTGTTGTAGGTACTATATTAAGTTTTCGATAGAGATGATGATAATAATAAATAAATATTTATTAAATAAGATGAACGGGCGACCGTTACAGATTCTGTGTGAAAGCGATCTTAAAATATTTCAAATGTGTATTTCGAATACACATTTGAACTGTATTTTGTTATTTTTTACTTGTATTTTGTGCCATTTCAGTATTTATTGCGTGTAGCATTTTAGCGATAACCACGACAGTTTTAAACGAATACGAGAGCGAACGCATTTATCGGGGTATCGGTGCTGCAGGGTGGTATAGGTGGACTATTATAGTCGACTATATTACAGCCTCCGAAAATGTGGCCAGTTCGTCAAGCCGCCGAGTCGAGACTCTCGTCGAGTACCGTCGCTTTAAATACTGCAATATCAAACATGTATTTAGATACACATTATACACGTATCAAGCAGTCGTATGCCGACGACGGGGACACTGCGGCGGAAGGACGTGTTTTGACTAACGCGAAACACGCTTGTTTGCACGGCTTGCCCCGCGCTCATATTATATAGTATGTGCACACATACGCGATGCGCACACGACCGGGACACGTGCACTTTTTATATAGAGATTAATACGACGGCGCGCGGGAGGCGTTATACAAGCAGCGGTTACAAGCGGCGGGCTCGACGCTGCGGACAAGGAAGGGTGCGGGGGTGGATGCGTGCACTAATGAAGCGTCGTCATCGAGTGTCGGATGTTTGCGGCGGGCGGACGGGCAGGCGAGTGCAGGATTCGAGCGGCGGCGGCGGCGGCGACGGAGTGACGGTGACGGAGGGCGCTGCGCTGTTCTGCCGCCCCTGCACGTCGACGTGATTTATGGCATCACCGACACCGCCGCCGCCGCCGCCGCCGCCGCCGCCGCTGTCGACGAACAGAATATGACGGTGTCGGTCGGGGTGGCTCGGCGGGAAAAACGACGGAGCGGATCGTTAGCGCTTCTTCGCGGGGCAATTAAAAGCGCCCAGCAGTGTCGGCCGCCGTGTCGGTTACCGTGGTAACGGTTGTTTGAGGAAGAGACAAGTGCACGGCGCTTATATACATACATATATATTGTTATATACGCGAACGGGATAAACGCGGTGGCGGCGGCGTCGCGGTGGGTGTCGTGACTGGTGGATGGCGGCAGCGGTCCGCGGGGTTGTGCCGTGGCGGCATAACAACCCGAAACCCCGTCACTATAATTGGAGGATTACACAGATAATTGAATCGCCCTCAACGCGTGGCGACAGTGAGTGTGTGTGTGTACGCTATGCGTATGTTTATATATATATATATGTATCGTGAAGGGACGTTAGTACGCGGTAGCGGAAGTGGCCGGGGACGAGGGGGGGGACGCGTTGAAACCGCACGACGACGCCTTTCAATAAAAATGTAAATTCGTATAAAATATAATATTATAATTTTTAATAAAAAACGACGAAAAAATCCTCCTCGTATTATATAATACGCATATAATAATAATAATATGTATTATGTATGTATATAAGCGGGGAAATAATTCAACCGCCCGCCGTCACTTAAGCCCGTCTGTATAATTATGTATTATATATATATAATATATATGTGTATCTGCTGAATGCGCCAACTATTACGCTGCAACCGACGAAATTATAATAATAATTTGTTACTGGGGACCCCTATATAAGGTATACGTCATAACAAGTACACCAATATAATATATCCGTTCTTTATGTTTACTACAATCGTTACAAAAATACGTTCGCGCTACGTCTGGTGACGATTTTTGCAGTTACATTTAAGTTGAAATTAGGTACACTACGCAAATAGGGGTCGAGAGGACTTGAACCATTTCAACAGACCATTCGTGACTGCAAAATAACATCGAAGACTGAATCAAGATACATATAAAAAATACAAATGATTGTATTTCGTGATGTCAGTGCAACATTGTATAGTATACCTTATAAGTATTAAGTAACTATTTTATAGTGTCTTACCTTCACTTGAGATTCGGTCATGCCCAGTGCGTACGCTAGTTTCGCCCGTTCCGGACCTGCCAGGTACTTGGTCTGCTCGAAAGTCTTCTCGAGCGCGAAGATCTGTTGCCCGCTGAACGTGGGCCTCGTGTGCTTCTTTTTGCCGTCCTTCTCTTGGTTAGAATTGTTCACTGGAAAACATCAACACGATTATTATTGTGGTTATTATGTACTGTTTCTATTGTTTATTTTTTATTACTCAACACGCATTTTTTTAAAAATATTATTGTGCGCGCCCTAAAATATATATATAGCCGTATATAGGTACCTGTTAACACACTCTTACAGTCAATGATATTATACTCAGTAAATAATTTACAATTTACTTGCATCATACATTATTACACTGTCGATTGTATTACGACGAATTATCAGTGCAATAATAGCAGAAGAATATAATAATAATACATAAACGATAAACGAGTGTAAGACACTAAAACGAACGATTTCGTTCATATATATCTATCAGAAATGCATGCCTATTGCTGTACATGTTATTATATATATCCAGAGTAAAAATCACTGTTTTGGATTGTATCATATAAAGGAAAATAATAAAAAATATACTTATACTCAATTTGTTTCGTCTATACACACCATCCTGCAATTGTCCGTATGTATATACATATATATATATATATATGTATTGTAACGTCGTAAACTCTTAGCGACAATTTCAAACAACTCCGGAATAGCTCTTATTATTATCGAATTTTGGTATATAGGAGCGGTGGCAGGAGAAATAAAGGAAACGTCTCCAAGCAATATAGAAACAATAATATATAAAATAACAACGTTTCCCCCGCGGCGGCGGTGGTGGCGGCGGTGGCGTTTCCTTTTCGATATTGCCGGCAAATAGTTATCGTAAACACAACAATCTGGCCGAATGATCGTTGCGGTCGATTTTCAGGGCGCCGAAAACACGCTGCACGTATATAATATAATATATATATAGCATCTCTCCACGCATTCTGTTTCCTCCTCTCACTCTTTCTCTCTTTCTTTCTTTTCGTGTCTTTTTCCCCTATGCTCCTTCTCCGCACACCGACACACACAAGCACGCACACTTACGATATATATATAATATATATATATATATACATCGTTTAAAACAACGAGCAAAAGTAATATAATAAAAGGAGCAGCAGCCCAACAACATAAAATACGTTTAAAACGAACGCGTGCGGAGAAAATAAATAGCTTATATACACTATATACAGTGTACGACGTACGTATATCGTACACGTGTGTGCATGTGTGCGCGAGTGTGTGTGGATATGATATATAATGTATATACGTGTATTTTTTTGCCGGATAAAAACCGCGAGGGAAAGCAGCCCGGAGCAAGTGTGCGTGCGTGTAAGGGACCGTGTGGGATGTCGGGAAATAGCGGCTCGGCGGTCGGGAGGACGACAGAAAGGGAGCGTTATGTTTTTATCACTCGCTCGACGAGACGAGGAGCGATATGTGGAACGGGAGCGGCGGACGATATTCAGGGTTCCGGGAAAGCGTGTCAACGAGAATTTCATTTTGTTAACACAATCCGCGGCGGCGGCGGCGGCGGTGGTGGTGGTGGTGTCGCACACACACGCACGTGTACCCCCGAAAAACGTTGTTTTCGTCTTCGCGTCCATCCGCCGTCGCCATATACCATCATACCCGGCACACACCCGCACGCACCCGCGGATGAGCAGAACAAGAAAAACCAAATAAACGATCTATTTCTCGGCGGCGCCCGGGGACCGCCAAATCCCGTTTACTGCATTTCAATGTAATTCCGTCGGCTTTGGCCGCAGCCCGCCATCGCACTTTAGCGCGCACGCGTGTGTATAAACGTATATATTATATACACAGAAAAATACGTCGTTACGCCCATCGTTGCGACTTTTTTTTTTTCTTGGGAAATGGATAAACGAGAGAAAAGAAAACCACCCGCGCTCGCACAACGCTACAGCGAACGGCGCGACAGACACTGCTTATCGTGGAAACCACGGCTGGGGGGAAGGGGCACCCGCAGCAATCGAACATGACTTTAAATGCGACGTATAAAATCGCAAAGTTACTTATGAAACGGTTTAATCCGTAAGGGCACTTGTGTAAATAATAAGCATATTTATTATGTATTAGGTATATAGGCCTTTACTCTTTGGTATAATTGTAGTTGCCTACATCTGCTACCCAATTGAGTTTTCGCTTTGTCTTGGTCAGAAATATTTCAAGTAATTATATAATAATATAATACTCGAGCAGTGATTTCCCAAAAAAAGATGCATTTATATAGGTATATCATAATTATTTCTATAACTATATTATAATGTATATGTTAAGTCGGGCGTATATAATATATATGATAGGTAAAATGGGTGTCTCAATTTTACAGGTTTATTACAATCTCGATTTATGCGTTTTTTAATTTGCGTATACGAAATAATTTAACTGCAATACTACTTATAAAGCTTACATATAAACTCGAATCATCGTGATTAAGAACATCATCCCAATGATTCGACTTGGACATAGAATTAAAAACGTATCTGTTCGAAGACTATATAATATTATATAGTTCCATAAACAACACAATTAGGTAATAAAAAAACTATCGACAAGTATAAAATTAAGAGATTATATTATCTGTAAAATGTTGTTCACACATCGTATACAATATCTATATTATTAAGATTTTCAACACGGAAAATGAAATTTAATTAAGAAATTAAACTTCCGAGGAATGAAAATATTATACTTATAAATATATATATATATATATTATACAGATTATAATATATCATTATCAAATCGTTTTTTTTTTGTCGGTGTGAATGCGGAGAAAAAGAAAAGAAAAATAAAATGCCCGAAAAATTTTTCGAAAAAAAGCCTTTTCAATTATCCCTTCATATATTAAATGGATGATACGCACTTGCGGATTGTGTGCGTGTGTGCGTGTGTGTGTGTGCGTCGTTTTAGAGACGGCACACATGCCGTTACACGGGATTTCGGGTCGGTCGGCGATATTATTAAGCTTTAATACCGCGCGCGCTCGTTTATATATATATATATGTGTTTACGTATATACCACTATATAGGGCGGAAGCTGCGGTGCGGTCCCTTTAAATCATTACATAATTTGACCCTTATAAAATTCTCCTCCTACCCACCATCCGCACACGTCGTCCGGTGGGTGCGCGAATGAGGGGAAAACAACGGTGGCGGCCGATATATATATATATATATATGCATCACAGAGTGTTGTGTACACCGTAAACGACGACTACGACGACGACGACGATAAGGGCGGGAGCGGCTATATAATATCGTCGTCCCCCCACATTGTTTGACACTGTGACGGAAGCTAATTGAATAGTTTGTAGATTGAAAATACGATATCGCGGGCCTGCACTATATTCACGCGCGGGGGATGATGACCGCGCAGCGGGCGGGCTATATAAGGGTAGGTGTACGCGCGCGCAAGCACTCGCGCGAATTCAGGCGATCGCCCGACCGCCCGAACGCCCGCCCGCTCGACGATGCGGGCGGCGGGGCGGCGGTCAGTTCCGCCGGAGATTACCGCACGCCATAACACTTTCGCCACGCCGCAACAGCTTGCGCCGCGAGCTCCGCCGGACCACCACCGACGTGGAGGCCAGAGAGACTGCAGCTTTAAATTATATTGTATAAAATTGCTCTCATATGATATATATAAATTATAAACACACGTGCGGAACGGACGAACAATAATTTCGTCATGTGTGTTTGTAGTTGTGCGCGTGTACTCTTATAATATTACCTAGATAACATGTATGATTATGTATTATTGATCATTATACGATATTATAAGAAGTACAATATGCTCGTATTATTTTATATTGTGAAACTCATAAAGAGAGAATCCAAGAAAAATAATGATTTTATGCGTGTATAGATTATTATAATAAATTTCAAAAAATCGATGATATATTATAGTAATAAGACTTATGAAATTTTCTGATTTGTGTATAATATCTCTACCTATAATACGTTGAATTTAATTTAGTGACGCTGAACATGAGTGCAGTTCTTAATATATTGTTTTTAAAGGCACTTTAGTCTAGATAATATATCATGTACGTAGTAAGTATAGAGTTAAGTTCCACAGAATGAAGACTTCATTCGAATACTTCAAACACCTACCTTAAATATTTTACTACAGAAACATAATTTATTATTATACGTGTGTACCACCCAATAGTTTATTTTCTAACAACGTTTATCGGTTTCAAAAATGTATAAAATCAGTATGATCTAATACGCATGTAACATGATGAGTGTATGACAAATATATATAAGTACAATGCTAATAATAGAAGATTCGAGTCACTTCTCTTATCGATTTCTAAAAACAATTGAGTTTAAATGTGATACATCGTGTAACTTGGAGTACATACTAAAATTTTAAAAAGAAATGTGTTTTAATATGAGCCTCCGCCGTGGTATTGCCAATAAACCCAAAAGAATATAATATTATAAACGCGTACGATATAAAATATTTTTTTTAATAGTTTTCATACAGTCTTTGCTATTGAACTGCGATGACCGATTGTAATTTTGCGAGAACCATAAAAATAATATACGCGACGAACGGTCGAAATTATTATTATTATTTATGATAACACACGTAACGAATCACCCGGAAAATTGAGTAGCGTTCTCGTATATTATAATGATATATTTGTATATATATACACATGTATGGACACACATTATGCAGCTTATTGCGTTAACAACATTTTTCGAACAACAGAATTATTATTAATATTTATTTATATTACACGAGACTAATATATTATTAGCCTTTAAACATATTATTTTCTATTATATACGGACGCACGAGAGCACACATATATAATTTATATGGTCTTATATATTATATTATATCGTTTAAAAACCACAAAGCACACCTCCACGCAATACATTAAGTTTATATATACCTACATAATAGTATACGATTATAAACATTATATAGCCGTCGCACACTCGCACCCCTTTAAGGAAGTGTAAGTACAATATTATATACATACATAATAACACTCACGCGCGTCCGATATACATATTCTATACGCAATATACTGCAGTTAATATGGCGTATATACACACGACGGCCATATTGCAGCCCCCGGACCGGATTTTCCCTCGAGGGCGAACTGCAGCAGACTACATATAAACTGCACCGCGGCGAAAGCGTAGCCGCTGCAATATACTATTATGTGTACAATAATAATATATTATATTATTATGAGGGGGGACCGCAAATCCCTCGATCGTGTACAGCGCTTGCGCAGCCGCGAATAAGACGAGTGTACATAATATATATAAAATAATATAATAAACCAACCCCTTTTTTTCCTTCCTCGACCATCATAATATATAGAAAATATATGTACGACGATTTCGCGACAATATAATAAAATAAAATACGAGACTTTACTCATGTTCTGTGCTGCTGCCGTCGTATAGGCAGGTATACGCCGTGCGCATAATATAATATCCATAGTTATATGAATGCTCACCCTGTATTTATATTGCAATAATTTATATTATATATACGTATAGCTGATACACCTATAATCTTCACATATATATATAAATATATTATATTATAAACTCGGTTGATGTACGCGTATTGATATCGTTATACATATATTATATTGTCATATACATGTACGCGGAGAAAGAGATAGGAGAAAGGTCATCCTGCCATTATGCGCGAGTGTGTCAGATATACATATATGCATGTTATTATTATTATGCCCATAAACCAAACCAATTAATTCCTCCTCGCCCGGCGGTATACCATACAGCTATAATATTATTATATTTATTGTTTTTTATGATCCTTTGTTGTCAGTTTCGCGACAAACGTTATAATTGAAAAAAAATACACCTACACACACTTAAAATAATATATATACATACATATATGCGGTGGTACAATATAATATGCGTGCCAATTAGACGCACGCAACAGTCGCCGTATTATAGGTGCGTTTATATTATTATGTATATATAATGTACAGAGCTATAGCGATTTTTTGTTGTTGTTGTTATTGCGATCATTAAAAAATTTCAAATGTCGCTCAAATAGACATAGACTGAATATATTATATCCTACACACAACACACAGAGTATTATAAATTATAATATGGTGACGACGTATATACAATATATTATAAAGGGTATACCTAATCCAAATTTTGCGGTTTAAAATTACGTGGCAGAATAACATAAGTACAACTTTAATATGAAATATTAAAATCCCCAACTGTACCTATATACATGAAATTTTGTAACCCAACATTTTATTATGACCGCGTCCTAGACCCAGTATTTCTGTGAGTACTTTCCCAGTGCGTGTATTATTTGTGGTACAGCGCACAAACGCCACAAACTATATAAATTATACTATATATAGTATTTGGTTATAGTACCCGCGAAATCATAAAGATAAGTGGAATATAACATTTATGCTGATAAAATTACCGATTTTTGACAGAATATATTTCATATTATTTTAGCTATGCCTACTAAATGTATGTGTAAGTACGGCTGCCATATATATCTATAATATACGATAAATTACAAAAACTAGACTTCGGCAGTATCCTGTGAATTATATCTGTATATCATATATAATTTAAGTATACGCCTGTATTATATTATGCGTATAATATGTAGGTACACTATAATGGTCAGTGTGACGAACAACAAGCTACGTCCACTATTCTCTTACATATATATAATATTATATCTATAACCTTCCACAGGCATTTTATACTCGCATAATATTATACATACATATATTGTGTGCAGGGTATTCCGTATACGAATATATAATATGATGTGACGAAAGATAATGGTATACAATATTTTACACACACACAATTCAAAAATATACGACGAAATATACGCTCGTCACGGTGAAACTTTAGCACCCCTAATAATCCTTCTCGGATATATATATATATATATATGTCTGCGGGTTGGAGGGGTACACAGAGCTTTTACCGCAGCCTGCGTGTGTGTGTGTATGTGTGTGTTTTTATCCCCCTCGGTTATTTTTTTTTTTTATGCTGAAAACGAAGTTTTGTGTCCGCGGTGTGCCGGCAGCGGACAAGGGGTTTGCAGCAATCGCACACATCTGTTACCGCTTTTGACCGCCGCGGCGGTTGCCGATATTTGCGCGGACGTCATTTGTCACTGGTCGGTCGAAATCATAGGCCAATAAAAACGCCGTTTTCCCGTCCGTATATATATAATATTATTATACACACACACACTCGCCCGCATAATTCTCATATGTATATAATAATATGCATAATATACGAAAGCCTGGAATCGCTTAAAACATATATAATACATATTGCATACGAATGCTTGAAATTTATGTGCGTATTTTGCCGAGTGAGTGTGTGTATATAATAATAATATTATAAGACAAAATTCAATAGATAAAAAAATAACTGCAGTAAACCTATTTATTAATCTACATATACAAACATAACGCAGTAAATCAAGGATATGCCATACATATTGTAGGTACGACAATATTATTATTTCAAATATACCTACCTAGAATGTTTTTAAAAATATATATCTGTTAAATTATAGTCAACTTTTGAAATTTTTTATGTTTTACATTTATTTATAGGTATACACAACATAGTATAGAATAATGTTTTTCATTAAAAATTATTTTTGCATTCATTGAACTAAATATGTTTCTATAACACTTAAAAATAATAACCTAATTGTCCTAATTTGAAAAATGAGTTTTAATTTTAATTATTTTTAAAACTAATCTAGCTAATTACGATACAATATTAAATAATCTCACATACATTAATATATATTATAATTTTTTCAAAAACTGATTTTCATTTCGAACTTTCAAGTGGATACCTCTTTATACTTTTATTAAGACCACTTATTTCAAAGTATAAATTAAACTTAAATTGTTTTATACCGTTGAAGTATCTTTGTACCTATACCTAATTATATAGTGTCCTGTGGTGATAGAAACTTTGTTTTTATAAATAATAACTACTTTTTTATTGTACAGATTTAAGATATGTGTATTTTTTAATTTATACCAATATGTTTCTAAATCGAAATTTAATTAACGAGTAGTTTTTTGTCAATTTGTGTATTTATAAGATCTATAGGGGGTATTCGGGGGACCTAGGGACTATATACGTATAATAATGATTTTAAAATATAGTAATTTATATTAATGTACCTATAATGTTTGTATAATCATTTTATGGTTTGTAAGAATTTACAAAGTATATGCATCTGGTATAGGGTGCTATAATATATTATAAAACCTATTTAAAGCATATAAATACTTTACTTAAGTATTAAATATATTACCTATTTGTATTTTATATGTAAAACAATTAGTATAAAAACTATAGTATTATTATCTTTAGTAATTAGGTATACAAATACATTTTAATAACTCATAAACTATTATATTATCTTTCAAAATTTGATTTATAGATGTTATCAACAATTTTCTGTAAAAAAGTATTTAACAAAATAAGAAATCTAAGTATTTGAAAGTATAATATATGTAGCCCTTATATACCTAATGTATACTTAAAAGTTAAATAATCTGAATTTTTATAAATGCAAATTATTAAAGGATAAAAAGAGGTTTATGTCATCATGACTGCAGAATCACTTTGTATTATAAAACTCAATTAAATAGAATTATGAGAATTATTATTATACATGATATATACATATTTGTTGTATAGTTATAAATACGTATAAGTGTATAACGTATTTATGAGAGAAGATAATTATATAATTATCCTTCCCAATACCACATAATATTGATACCTATGTATTTCAACATTTTACTTATTAAAAACTATATGTATATATAGGTTCTTATAGACTACCGCCTATATAGGTATTATGAAATCAAGAGAGATAAAACTCCGACCGTAAATCTTTGTAAAATCCAAAAAACTTATCACCTCAGCAATATATCTATATAGGTACCTATATTATATACTAAATATATATTTAAATAGATGCGTGGCATTATACACTTTTAATATTTTATACACAATAATGATGGTGTTACTTACGGCTAGCCAGCCTGTCCCTCCAGGCAATCGGGTTATTGACCAGACCTTGGAAGCCCGGCCAGTACAGGTTCCTGGTGGTGAGGTCGGCCAGCGTGGTAGCCGGGTGCTTGACGCCACCGTTGTGGAAGTATGACGCTGCCGCAGCCATCCCGGCGGCCGCGATGCCGGCCACGCTGTTGAACGCCCGCTGTTGGTGGCTGATGGCGGCCGCTGCCCCCGTGGTCGGCGGCCGCGACAGTATCTGCTCGATGCCATGTGGGTTGCCCGCCGTGCACCCGTTCTTCATCTCGGTCATGGTGTGCAGAGCAGCCAGAGGTGGACTGCTGCTGCACGGCACGTCCAAAAAGTTGAACATTGGCGACAGCATGTTGTGGTGATGGTGGTGATGCTGCTGCTGGGACAACATCATCGTGGAGCCCAACGACGACCTACACATTTGAAACACCAATGGTTTATTATATTAAACAAATTGTGTTATACATGATATCATATTGTATTTTATCATCATAGATGCAGTCATTATACATTATTGTATATAATATATTATACACGGCCCATCAGTACTTAAATTTTAGGAAACTCAATAATAAATTGAATGTGACACGTTTTTTGAAATTTAGTTTTTTTTATCTAATTTTTTTTTACAAATTCTGTAATTTAGCGCCAATTTAATAAAAAAAAATCGTGTAAATAAATAAAAAATTGTCGTTATTATATATAGGTACACTCCGATAGAATTGGGAGGAAATGCCTTTAAATAGAACTATCACCGTAAAAGCCATATTATAATAAGTAGATACTATATCGTGACATGTGTATATAAATAAAATTATATGTATATACCTATATATATATATATATTTATATATAAAATAAGTTGTTGCCATTGCAGTAATTCTATAAATATTGGTACGATACCTACATAATTTATAAAGGTAATAATACTATTATTGTGCGTACAGTGTACATGCACTCTAAAGCCAATACCTCCATAATACGTACGTTATAGGTTTTACTGCAGTGCAGTGTTCGCACATCTATTATAATACATATTATAAATATATAATATGTGATATGTATATACGCGCGCTGTCGTCACGTCCAACCCACGAGGAGACCGTTACATCACAATGATCCCGCGTCACGACCCTCCGAAATATATTTACCGATGTAGAAACTACATATTATAATATAATATATTATTGTTAATGTTCATAATACTGGAAAATTTCCATTCTCATCGCTGCGCAGCTCCTGCAGTTGTATACGACGTGGTAAATTATTCTAGTTTTATATGTATATATATTATTTGACGTATTATATGGATGCACCTATATATAATAATGTATTACAGATTTTGAGTTCCGTAGCTAAGTGTAAAATATATTTTTGAATGAAAACGATTAACCCATATTATATTAGTATAATACCTTTAATATAATGTAACTTGGTATACCTATTACCTATGCCTCTTATACGATTTTAAACTATGGGTATACGCAATAATTTGTCAATCTAGAACATTATTATGTGCAAGGTTGGTGTGTATAATATAAATATATATATTTATATATTACATAGGTACATGTCAATTATACACTGAAAGACACATTATGCGTTTTTGAATAGATATTGTAAAAAGAATAACTGATTTATGATATTTTTTTATTAAACCTATCATTTTCTCTAAATATATGCAGTTACATAATTTTTGCAACTAAGTGAATGTAACATTGAAAGTTCCAATTTAATGTGGTAAAAACATCTCCGAAATATTCCACTGTACAGTACCTAGGCCAAATTCATTAAACAAAATAATAAATCGATGGTAATTAATAATAATATTTTGCGTATTATTATGCTATATATAATTACATCATAATATAAGTCATAAGGTTATATAAAAACAATAAGTAGTAAGTACCTATCTTATGTATTTTGGTTGTGTAAAATTAATTATAACTAACTATAGCTTTTTTATTCTTAATTTTTAAAAATAATTTATTGACAGATACATTTAAAAATTTGAAGTACCTATATCTATAATTACAAATCTCACCATAAAAATTTGAGCATAGTAAAATATTTATGTATAAAATAGTTTCACCACTATAAAAATCAAAAATATCATAAAATGTATGCTTAGGTTATGCCAATCGACCTATTATGTGGACGTTTATATGCATAGTAAGTAATTTATACTAAATTTAGGTATATAAATATAAATATATAAATATAGATATTGTAGGTACTAGGTACCACTATATCAAATGGGTCCGAGACTTTGGGCAGAATATGATATATATATTATAGGTAACAAACTCATTTCGTATAAGCTGCCTTTATGACGATCAATGGATTTGCAGCTGTGTACATAGGTATATCACATATATACATTTCTATAATATAAATATATAATAAGTGCCGTATGATATCGACTATCCACTTTATTGGGACACATCGATCACGTGGTATTGTGTCCCGAAAAAACCCAACTCCCAATAATCGGAAATTTAAAAAACTTCTGACAATTTGTTATTATAGTTATATTTATTCGTATGGATAATAGTTGAATAATTAATAAAAACGGAATGTATGTTGTATAGATGATACGTGACGAATAACTTATACGAAATCACCACGAAAACCAGCCAGTGCAAGTCAGTGTGTCATGTTTATAATCATATAAATTATAACATATAGTGTATTCCTATATATTGTGTATCTATATACATATTTAATATATAGATTATTTATAAAAATGTACTAACCTGGACGAGTCCTCAGCCTCGCTGGTCGTCCCGCTCTGTGCACCCGGCGATGCCGTCGTGGTGAATGCTCGGCACACCTGACGATTTTCAAAAAGTCACCGTTCGGCGACGGCGACGTGTGCTGCAGCGACGCTATAGATTATAGGTCGCCGTCTGTCCACTCGGAGGATTCAGGCTACGAGACGTTCGCGTTCGCCGACCAGTACATAATAACAATATTCTTGTATATATACGACTACTACTGTCGGCAGATTTAACGGCGGTAGGTATTTAGACGCGCGTTTTTTATTAAACTTTATATTATACGACTGTAATAGCGGGTATATTCTATAAGTTATAACTTATATTAAAACGCGGATTGTCAATTACATAAAGTCGAGTGAACAATTTTCTCGATTTGTATTACGCTGACTATCTGATAATCATTAAAAAAAAAAAATCGTTTCAATCAAGTACCGATATAATATTAGAACAATATAGGTACACTCTAAAGTGAATCACGATACGCACGACGACGACGACGACGACGACGGGTAATATTATTGTACAGCACAACGACGGTGCAGTATAATAATATGTTGATGTACGCGCGACGTACTGCAACGACAACAACGGACCGTATTATAATAATGTAATGATACGCGAGATCGAAAAGTGGTCCTCGGCGACCGACCGGTGGATGGATGTGACCGAAAAAAACGACGCACGATAAATGAATGCGTGTGGTGTGCGGCGACACACACCTCGGGCCCCAGAGTCACGGGCCGAGCGGGGGGCTGGCTCCGCTCGCCGGCCGAGGGCGCCGCCCACCGGGTCCCAGATTGGACGGTCGGCCGTGCCCGCCCATCGGTACCGCCGCCGCTCCCACCGCGCACACTTGGACCAGCGGCGGCGGCGGCGGCCGTGTTAATCAATTACTACTCAACAGAACTCGATTTTAATGCTTTGTTATTATGATGTTCGTTCGTTACGGTTAACAGGGGTTTGCGTGTGTCCCCGCGTCGCCGAGCCACGCCCCGCAAAAAGAATATCGTATTATAATATTTTAATATAGATATAGGTAGGTGTGTATATATCCGTATTATATGGGATGGCGAAACTAAAAAAAAATTAATATTTATATATTATAATATAATATACGCGCGTAAGTATATGTACCTACCTATATATATATTTAATATTATAGTCTACATATATACCTAATTTTTTACGGCTTACATATAGCTAATTACGATCATTAAATATTTTATGTTCTATCATTATAAATATTATACTGCCGGTTTTGTTTTATACATAATATATGCATATATATATATATATATACCTATTATATACCTATTTACAGATGTAGGTACCTACTGCTGTAACAAGGTTTATACATATAAATAAATGTATAGGTGTATTACCTACATAGGCACGACACTATAATAAACTATATATCTCGGCTAATATAATAACCTATATAATAATATGTGAAATGCGTGTAATACGCTTCTGCATCCCATAATCGTGTATAATGGTCGAAACAAAAAAAATATACATCTTCGAGACGACACCAAGACTTGGCGGTGTTTAATAATATTATTATATTATTGTTTATAGCGCTCCGTTAACTGCAGCGGCGGTGCTGGTCGACTTGCGGCTCTAGACGACGTGACTAATGATACAACCCGCGCTCGTCGTTGTCTGACATGGGCCGCATGTATATACGCGGATACCAATGGGCGGGAGCACTGCAAAAGCAGTTCCCCTGTCGTCGTCGGTTTATGAACAAAAAAAAAAAGGTAGGTATATTGTATATACTATACCTAGATCTCTCTGCAATGCGCGATACATATTAAGTTTTTATGTTATGCATATAATTATTATAATTATATATAGATGAATGCGTTTCCCGGATAGAAGTTTCTTAACTGGCTTAACTCCACCACTCAGTGAAAAATCAAAATTTCTCCGATTTACATTATATCATGTATATTGTTCATACATGTATATATTATAGTTATAAAGGATATATTCCTATGTATATACACATGTTGTATAACATGCAGTATTTTACCCTATATTATGCAGTAATATATATATTATATTTTACGAAACTTATGAATACCTACATATAAATTTAATATATATATATATATATATATATAGAATTAAATGAATAAAATTTTATATTAGAATAAATATGTGAGTTTATTTGTAAAATAATTCTTATTTATATGTTTGTTACCAACTATTATAGACTAAAAAACTGTTCAAACGTGATTTCGACAAAAATTTCGGTGATTGTTCCTTAGAGATATTATATCCGTTTATATTTTTGTAAAACCACTTTTAAGAACTATAATTTAATCATTAAAACAAACATTTTAAAATAACTATTATTAGGGGATATACATGCAATGATTTTTTTTTAACAAATTTTCAAATTCAATACCCAATTAATTAACATTGTATATACATATATATAGTTTATACATTTATAAACATGGGTGCAATTATCAAATAAAGAAAATTATAGTGTTAAATTATTATTTAAAAAACATATAGGTATATAAGGTACCTCGCTTTAATGGGGATAATAAGTAGGTATACATAGATCGTAGTTGGTATTTTTATTTAACTGTTTATATGGATTAAACGTAGTCCATGATGTAGACGTACCGATCAGGTAAACGTAGAGGGAATTACAGTGCATGTCAATTATATGCAAAAATTTTTATAAATATGCGATTTATTCAATGAAGTGTGTTTTTATACATTATATATGACTGTGCAAACATTGAAATTGAATGAAATGGATTTCAAATATCATCAAAACACACCCCTCATAAGAACAAGTGAAGCGTGTAAAGTATATATGTATACATTATACAATAATCAGGAAAATTCGTCAGTCATTTTTCATTACTCCCCTGTTTCATGCGACTACACTTCTTATTATATTAAATATTAATATTACATACCTATATATATTTACATTTAACAATGATAAATAATATTTATATTTAATATTAATAATGTGTTTGTTGCTATAATAAAATCTGCATCGTAATAAAACATAGATAAATGTATAAGTACCATATATATAATGTAATATTTAAAGTCTTACATTAAACTTCATGAAACTTGATTTTACATATTACGGTGTACATAGATAACCTATAACATAGGTATGATTATACATGTTTCAAGGAAGTTTCTGAGTAAAGCTAAAACATTAATATGTAAATGATAGCTGATATAGGTATATAGAATACTTTAGATATATATAAGTTTGAGTATTATTTTGTTGGATATTGAATAAAATATTTTTTTTGTGCTGAAGTTCCATATGGTACCATATATAGGGACTACATATGCAGTATACATACGTATAGTAATTATAGATGGGTAGTTGATATGTAATTGTAATAATATATAACTATATATTTTACATCATACAAAATAAAATAAATATTTTCATTGGCAGTAGCACAATAAACTATTTAGAAATATATTTAAATATAAATCTTACATCGATAAACGAATAAATATATTAATATTTTATTAAGTACCTATACATGCTATAGCTACTTCGACATTGGATTTATATGCTATCTTTTTTATTCTCACATAATTATGTAATGACTGCGACGGAGTATATAGTATTTTATAGTAAACAGATTATTAAATTAATATAATACATTATATTATATTAATATATTATTGATTTATGTATAATGTATAAGTACTATTATGTATATTATAAACCTTATACCTTTTTCATTTTTATTACCGTAGGTAATTATTATAGTAGATTCATCATACATATAGATATACTGTAAAGTATAAGTATACCAAAATCTATAATAATAGGCATAACTATATTATGTACCTACAACATGTACATGTATAGAACTAAATATAAATAATTATTTCATTTGTTTGGTATTCAATTATATAAAATATGTTATGTGTACCTATTTCATATTTAAATATGACCTATAGACATACCTATTATTTAGTGTATTCTGTAATTGTTTATTTTTGGTTTTTACTATTTTAATATAGGTACATAATTATTATATTTGTCGAAACGAATTAATTTTTCCAAAAAGATATAATACCATGTACAAACTTGAAACTACATTTTTAATTTTAATTCTAATATTTTATAAATGCTTCTATTTATACCATATTAATATAATATATCTACCACTATATAAACTATATGCAACTATATACAAGTTTAATACTGCACTTATAATTTATTAATAAATGTTATAGCATTGATTATAAATACTAGTTTATATAATCAATGGTTATAGTAAATTATTAAAACTCTACAGAGCTTAACATTTTCAAAATATTATTATGTAAATGAAATTAGCAGGATTATATAATTTTAAAATAACAGTTTAAATCAAAATGTAATGTTATGCATATTATATTAAAGTGATCTCAACTAATAATAAATCCTTTAATACACCATGAAGTATTTTCATGTTAATTAAAAAATATTATATAGAGGGTGGATCCCTCCGATCTTTGTGTGTTATCATCGACGTGCCAAACCATTGTATTCAGTTATAGCATTACTAAATAGTGGGGATTCAAAAGTCACTAATTTAACAAAGTCCCCTACATTTTTCAAATTTGATTTTTATTCTAATAACTGTTTTGATTTCATAACTGCATTACCCGATATGACGAGATGATATAAAACTATAAATAATATAATATATGTGTTATATATTTATAATAACTACGTGCGATAAAATCATTTAACTTGTTTTTTACTTCGCCCATATATCATTTTTATGGCTTTGAATAGATTAACGAAAATTATAAATTTTAGTTCGTTAGCATTTGCCATAGTTCACTCATAAATCTAATCGAATGTATAAATATCATATAAATCTACTATATAGGAAACAAATTAAAAACTACTAAAAAAACCTCCAAAATATAGACAAGCTATATCCATCTCAATTTTAAATGATTAAAATTAAAAATATTTTTTATTATAGTAAAGAATATTATTACGACACTAGCTAACATTATACATAGGAGGCGTCCTGTAGGTACCAATACGTACGTAATTATTATCTAAATCATACATCGTTTGGAATTAATTTAATATTTTATAGGTCATAAATAATATAACATTATATATTATATACTTATATATTTAACATTTTTTACAATATATAGATATGTAACTAAACAAATAAAGAAATATTTAGTTGTACATAATATATTATATTAGATTTGTGTAATATATAAAATTAAACTGCACTGGTACATTTATATCGTTTATTTTGTATGATTTATATACAGTGGTCGCCGCTTAATGTAATCACTTTGGTGTGGGACGTAACAGATAACACAACCCGATTGATAACACTAAACGAAAGTTAAAAAAGCTAACCTACGTTACATATGTGGGTATAAATTGGAAATTTTAAATTTTAAAAAATAAAATAAAATATAAATAAATATGTATAATATATTTTACGGATGTATACAAACACGATACTAGTCGACGAGCAGCGACGGTACTGTCTTAATGATGTACGAACGAAAGGTAGGTATAAATGTTATATCAATGTGTATACTGTATAGACATTTATATCTTTATTAAAATTTTTATCTTTATTATGAGGCATTTGACGAAAACTTTGATTGTATGTTACAAAATGATGATTTTATGACCTCAAACTGTATAATTATGCGGTGTA